TAAATAAAATTCATAAATGGCAATTTCCATTTAAAAACATGAAGCTGTTTTTAAGAAAATGGCGTACATACGTTACTGTAAATGCGAAAATTGAAGCTCTTTCACAGAAATTGTTTTATTTTGCGATAAACTTCATTTTTACCCGCTATCGTTGTTCTCACATGGAGGGACGGACAGACCAGGGCCCTGTAATAACAGTTTTTCTGCCGAAAATTCGCTGTTTTTTCGCGCAGCATTAGAAAACTTTCTCTTAAGACGTTCCTTCGCAAGCGCATGAAAGTAAAAAGTAAACGAATAAAGTTTTAGTTACAGACAGAACTTTCATTTTTCATCTATCAATTATATTTTTTTCAATAAAAATAGATAGTAACAGTATCATTCTAGGTATCGTTGGTAGGCGATTTGTCTTTTATATCTAATTCGCAAATAACTTAAGCTTGTCGATCGTCAAGGTTGTAATCCTACATTACTCATAAGTAATATAGAATAAATAGAAAACGCCAAGAAGGATCTTATGGAGGCGCAAGGGGCCGGGTCATTAGAAGGAAGGCGGATTGCATTTCGAAACGCGTAGACGAGGGCGACTCCATGGCCGAGATGCGGGGGGGGGGGTGAAGGACGGATTTATGACTAGAAGACTGTGTCGACGAAATGACTACCAAACATTGCAGTGATAGACGTGAAAAAGGGGACGGACACAGAATGGGACTCGCACTCTCTCACGCTTATCCACAATTCAGCTAATGGGTTGGAGAGATGTGGCGGCTTCTGCACTGCGTGCGCGACAGGTTCGCCCATCCTTAAGACAACTTTCGACGTTCAACGACTCAATTAGTACCGTGCAAGTGCGTCTTTCCACGAAGACGTTAGGGTACAAACAGTACACTAATTTCACTCCAAATAAAAAAAATAGGCGAGCTCACTTGTAACGACGCTGATGATTGGTGAAAATAAAATGGAAATAGGTGGAGTGATTTTCAGACAACGGAGTGGGGAGAGATGCGAAGGAGTTGAAACTCTGTGAGAATCGAGAGAAGCCTGCAAGGCTGCTCACGGGCCAACTTGGTTAAAATGTACCTGTGTGACTCATGTTTTCTTTAAAGTAACTTACCGCTCGGCGGATTAAGGACTCTCAAACTAGTCACTTAAGGGAGAATCATAAACTCATAGTTCGCCAATAATTGCGACTATGCAGAATTTTCGTTACCACTCTGGCCATGAAAATGCATTAGTTTGCTGTTACCGAATAATTTAAAGAATCGCGAACGCTGGTGAGACTGGTCATCAAATATCTCCGCGGAGAATGAATTCTTTTCGCAAGGAAGATTGTGAGCGAACGCCGGCGCTGAGTCGACAAACGGGTGCCACGCGTGATGTACTTGCTTCCACGGGGGCAGCGACCCCAAGCTGCCAGCATCCGACAACCGTTAGTCATAGAGTGACGCACCAACCGAGGGACGGCTCCAGACGACCCGCCGCAACTTTCTCTCTCAGTGGCGTTGTGTGGCGAACGCTACAGGTACCTGGCGCTGCTGAGGAAGAGGAAGGAAATGGTACGCGACAAAGACATTTAAATTTATATGTAAAGAAGAAAGAAGATTAAGAAGCATTTCATTGTAACGTTTAATTAATTTGCTTATTTAAAGTAAGCGCAATGCGATTTTCGGCTAAAATGTATTCAAAATTAATTCATTGAAGTAAATGACTTGTTTGTTAAATTATGTAAATCTTTTAATTCAATTACCACTACCAAAATCCAGTAAAAATAGATGAAGCATGTGTGAACGTAATCGGAAACGAACCCATAAACCGGAAGAGGCACGTAACGACAATGCCAACAGTTGGCAGGACGAGTTCGCATGGCGAGGTATAATCAGTGTTACATTAAGCGGCACACGTTCAAGAATTTTTGTAATAAATGTGATTATTATATTGTAAAACATATATTCATGGCTTTTTACTTTCCCGTATACGCACGTGTAGTACGAATATAGAATATATACGAGTAATATACTTGGTATAGGAAAAGTTATGAAATTCGGAAAACCAATTTTAAAATTTCAACGGAATTTCACATTTTGGTGTCCCCTACTACCTACAAAGTTGTTCTTTTCAAAACGTCCGTCCGTCTGTCTCTCTCCACCTGTGAACACCAGTAGCGCCTCAACCATATGTGTTTTTTCTTCCAAAATGGATATTCCCCGATCGACCTGGCTCCACTCGAGGCGCCGCAATTGAAAAACTTTCTTCAAAACAAAATTGCCATTTAGAACGAGTTTTTACCGTTCTTTAATAATCTGAAAATAACATTTCCGTTCTACTATTAGTAATCCGTAAAATTAAGAAAATGTGAAAAAAATGTACTTTGGGCGGCTATAGTTGGCAGCTGGGGAGTATGTTGCAAGTCCGAATAGCCAGCCGAAACCAAAGAAAATATTAAACTAATACGGGAACGGTTTTGCCATTGTTAGCACTAGTTATTTTCTCGTACATGTGCGTATATACGTAGTATAAGGAGTAGTTATGTAATACTGCGCGAAAAAAACGGCGGATTTTCGGCTGAAAAACTCTTTTTGCCAGGCACTGATAACTAAAAAGAGGGTAAATCAAGTTACTAAATTAAGAAAACAAAATCCTCTAAAACGTGGTGTAGCGAGAAGCCCTGTTTTGTGGGTCCTTTATATCGAAAAATTAATTTACAGCAAAACGTCTGTCCGTTATGTAATATTGAGGGGAAAACTCGATTTTTCGACACAAAATTCATATTGATTGGCCCCGATACATAATGAGTAGATAGGCCTAAATTCTGTTCTAATGTGCTATAAATTACTCCCTCCAAGAGGTTTTCTCCATATACAATGTTTTCTTCTTCCAACATGTCAGATTTCAGTAATTGTGAGTCATTAATACCAAAAAGTCTTTTTTTCATAAAACTTCTGTCCGTCAGTGAACACCACTAGCGTTTAAACGCTACGTCCGATTCTTTCCACAATGGATATGGCCCACATCTGGTTCCACCCGAGGCACCGCGATTTTGAATAACTTTCTTTATTTTGGGTACTTTATAAATTTGGGGTACTTTATATAATGTCCCTGTAACATTTTCAAAATTTTCTCAAATACGGCTCTATTTTTTTCTTTACTTCGTAAGAATAGAGAAAAAATCACTTATAAATGTGGCTTTCGTGCAAGTTCCACGATTAACTCTGAATTTTCGAAAATTGCGGAAGTTTGAATTTTTTTCGTGTCTTTCTATAACCACAAAATTTAAGCTAGAGATTTTTCTCACAAGTAAAATTTGTTCTCCATTTTAGTTCTTTCATTAAGGTAATGAACATTTTAAAAATTGTCTAGTTGTTTTCCAGCAACCTTGTGTAAAATATGTGTAATTTTAAAAAATAATAAAAACAGATTTTCACGAAAACGACTCCAAATCATTTCTTTAAACTTTTGAAAGAGATAGTACTAAATGTACTCTATGAGATGACAAAAAACGCCTATTCCTTCTTTTAAAAAAATTACAAAATTGTAATTTTTTGTAATAAAAAATACAAAATTGTGATTTCTTTTATAGTAGCTTTTCATGTTATTATTTACATTTTTTACACTATTACATTTGCAAATACATATTCTTTATAAGATGATATAAAGTTTCTCGAAAACTCATAACTTTTCTGTGAAAACGAGCTCAAATTTTTGCATCTTCAGAAACCTTAGTACGACATATTCTCAAAAACTGCTTCAAATTTTGTCTTCATACTTTTCGTACGGATAGTGCTAATTGCACTCTTTAAGATGACAAAATTAATTTTGCTATATTCTTTCGTTTTTTTCACAAAATACACATTTTTTAAAATCTCTCACGCTGTTAATATGCACTTTTCCAGCGACTCGTATAAATTATTGTACTTGTGACTGCAATAATGACTTGAAGTCCTTCAAATGAAGTTTATCGAAAACTCAATAGTTTTCTGTGAAAAAGAGCTTCAAATTTCGCTTCAATAATAACGCTTACATGTCATTTTCTTGGAAACGGCTCCAAATTTGTCAATGAAAATTTCCATTTGGGGTAGATTTTTACTTTTTTAAATATTCTTAAAGTAATAGTACTGTTCTACTATTCGAAAACCGAAAAAGTGAAGAAAATAATAAAAATAAAAAATGTACTATGGGCGACGATAGATGGTAGTCGGCAATGGTGTGTCTGTAAGGGTAAATCTGTTGTTTCTTCACGTTATCCATTTGGGAATTCGCAGAAGCACTGAAACACGTCCTGACACAACTATAAGTCACAACTACTATACGCGCAAGTTTTCTTGATATTCCACAGCGGGGGGTGCGGGGAGAGGAGGGCTCTGGCAAAGGCACATCTTAAAACGGCATACCAACTGTGGCCATGAACTTACCTCGCCATAGAGTGCCACGAGAAATGCTACGATTGTTTGGAAAGTAAGGGGTAGTTGTTGGCAGCACTGTAAATTGGTACGTGCCGTTCCGATTCGAACCTAAGTATCTCAACGTGCCGTGCTATTCAGCGCTGGGTGGGGACTAGGGAGCTCGTGTATCAAGAAAACTTGCGCGAATAATAGACGCGCCAAAAATGAAGCAAATGGGTGCGACAAAAATGACGCGTTGCATCGCACTAGCTAAGTCAACATGAAACCTAGATATATGTAGCATCGCAATGCCGTACTGCTGCTAGTTTGACCGGCACAATGTAATTCTCGTATATTTTGGGTAGCACCTCGTAAGTATGCAAAAGTGTAGTGTTATAAGTGAATAAATCCTGGACGTTGTATTTATTATAACCGATGTATAGAGACCACTATAACATAATCTTCTAGTGCTTATTTGTTATATATGTGGATTGGAACCAGTGGCTTCAGTTGTCACTATGTTCAATGTCACTATACTCAGAGTCGACTGTGTTTTTAAATATAAAAGACATATTCGTCAGACATGTGTTGCAATGATATCATTTATTTTGTTTTGTTTTTTAGGTCCTGGGGGTAGATATCCAAAGATTTCCTGGAATTGAGAAATGGATGGGGCAATGTCAAGAAGTTTTGAATGACTATGATGTTATAAAGAAACGTTTAGATCATGCCCAAGAAATCCCAGCAAACAAAGAAAACAATAACAACTAGAAAAATGAATGCTGATTCTACATACATTATTACAACTTCAATAATACTGTAATAAATAATAATAAACTGACAAATGTTTTTAAAAACATGCCTTTCTTATATGACTCTTAATACGTTCTGGTGCGCCTGTCACGTCGCAGGATTCGTCAGGACAGTGACACCACGGTGCTGCACGTCCGGTATTATAAACCAGACAGCCAAGCAAACGATATCAGTAAATTTACTCATATTAGCTTTTGTATGTATTCCAAGAGAAGTGGATCGAAGTCAGCGTCGTTTCAGTCCTGAAGAAGTGGATCAAAGTCTGATATTTTCGTGCATTTATCCTTCAAATTTTCAAATGAATAAACATTTATTAACTCATATAATTTATTAAAACCACCATCCGTATGAAACACATTTTTTTTAAAATAAGCTCAAGTTTGCAAAGAATTATTGATAGCAGATAGTGTTGTAGTCAATTAAGTCAAAAAACATACCTCAATATTTCTTTAGGATGGATTGGCCAAGGCCTTCGACTCGAAACCTCATTCGTGACTTTTGTATGTCTTTGCCTCTACAAAGTAAGTGTCCAGTATGTGTACTAAATCCAACACTTTTTTTGTTATTTACGGTCGCATCAACTACTAGGTCATTAGCGACCACTACTGTGTGTAACGGTATGGTAACTATGCGGATGACACGATATGATGATGTTAGGAGTGTGAAAGGACGAACACAATTCAACCATGCCCAAGCCGGGATTTGAACCCGCGATCCTTCGGTCCGAGATCGCCACGGCACTACTGCCTTAGCAATCTCTTCCATCCGGACCGCCTTAATCCAACACTGTATGGCAACTTGGTGTACAAATATATAAGTCTCATTTGCTGGAGGCAGCAATGCCACCCAGGAACTGAGAATCAAACGAGGAATAGTCTTAAGGAGAGAGATAGTCTTAGTCCCTTATGGTTCTCCCTAGTTCTAAACCCTCTCAGCAGAATGTTAAGAGAGTCAGAAACTGAATATGAAATCACCAAAAATCCCCATATCCTCATTAATCAGTTCTACATGGACGATCTCACGTTGTACGCCAGAGATAAGAACCAGCTTTCCTCGTTCCTTGAACTTGAAAAGTTCTTCAGCGACTCTATTTGTATGGAGTTTGGCATTGATAAATGTAATACAGTACACGTGAAAATGGTAGAAGTCCTTGATCCTGACCAACTCTTCCTGATGCATCGCACAAATATCCAAGAACTTGGGGAAGAGGATACCTATAAAAAATATTTAAGTCAGCACCAACTTTTGAGTACAACTGAAGAAAAGATGAGATGTGATGAAGTTTTGTCTTGACAAGTGTACAAAAATCAAATATGGGTCGACAAGATCTCACGGAAAGGGATCATAGTCAACATAGCTGTCCCTTTAGACCGTAATAAAGTTGCCTCTATTGCTGAGAAGAATCGAAAATACCAGGCCTTAGCTATTGATCTGAGCGACATGTCACGCTCAATCAATGCAAAAGGCTGTTCTCCTGAGTACTGCACGCATCGTGAAAGCGTTTTTATTTATATAACTTCACGTTGAATTCTGACCGCCCGAGTTTGCAAACGAAGCAGGCACCTTTGGTTCTCCAAAGGTTCCGATGTCTGCTGAAGAACACCCAGCTAAGCGAGAGACTTGAAATAATAATAATAATAATAATGAAGCTACAGGCCAGTCACTGGTCTGCCAGTACTATACAAAGTTATAACTGCAGCCATACCTGACAAAATGTCTACACACGTAGAAAGGAACCATCTGTTGCCAGATGAACAAAAAAATGTAAAAATTCTTATGCCTGCAAGGAAATATTGCTACTAAAAAAGTCATCATGAATGGTGTAAAGAAACGAAAGCGTAATTTAAACATGGATTCACTACCAGAAGACATTTAACAGTGTCCCACACGATTATATTTTAAAGATCCCAGAGATATATCGATTTCATCCTAGACTTGTTGAGTTTTGCAAGGCTAGTATGAAGTCGTGGAGTACCAGGTTACTGATATACAACGGAAAGTAACCGGAGAAACAAGAATTCAGATCAATGTGGATATTTTTCAAGGAGATTCGTTATCCCCTCTGCTGTTTCGATCATTAGTTTGATCCCACTAGCTAGACAGTTGTCGCAAGCTGACTTTGGTTCCAAGCTCCATGGTGATAAAAGACCAATATCACATTTGTTTTGCATGGATTATCTTACAGTGTTTGCTAAGAATGAAGCGATTCAATACAAATGTCTGTCTTTAGTAATGATTTTAGTGACTTGATGAGTAGCCATGACTTTAGTAATGACATCTGCGTGAAGTTTGACAAGTGTGAAAAAATCAATTAAAAGTTAGACAAAGTTATAACATCAGAGAGCATTGAAATTCATATGCACACTGATTCAAGATCTTGAGCCAGATAAAACTTACAAATATCTGGAGAATGTGAGACTATCTCGAACGACTCAATGAAAGAGAGAATTCGTAGGGAGTATTACAGAAGAGAGAGACTCGCCCTGCAGTCCAATGAACTTGAGGAATAAAATATATGCAATTGGTAGTTTGTCGGTGCCTTGAGTCGAGCACAATTTCGAACTCGTGGATAGGACTGAGCAAGAAATGCGAATCATGGATCTAAAAAACAGAAAACTGCTAACAATGCATCACGTCGCCCACTCTCGAGTTGATGTACAGACTATGTGTCGCGTAAGGAAGGAGAAAGAGGCCTCAGACAAATTGAAGCTTCCTGACCAAATGCAATAGTCGGGGTGGAAAATTATGTAGTCAGTCATCAAGATGTCCATCTAATAAGACAGGTGATGAAATCTGACCGAAGAATTTGAAACAGGCATTGTTAGTGTAGCAAGGAGCATTGCAAAGAAAACTATGCAAGTCACGCAGAATAACACAGACACTGAACTTCTGATGCTAAACATGAGACGAAAAATGTATTAAAGAAACCTTTGAGAGACAAATCACTTCATGGATAATATCTAAAAAGAATGGACAAGGTGAAGATCAATACAGATTAATAATTTATGTGGCTTAAAAGGGGAAAATGAATCCAGAATAGGAAGCAGTTCTAATAGCTTCTCAGGATCGGGCGTTCAAAACACATTATGATAAAGTGTATCTCAAAATCCCCTCCAAAAAAGCTTTAAAAGCCGCATCTACCAGGAACAAGTAGAAACCATTGATCACATCGTCTCAGCTTGTCCAATTCTAGCAAAGACCGAATACTTGAAAAGACATGACAGGGTGTGTAGTTACCTCCACTGGCAGATCTGTAAGTGGTATGAAACCCATCAAAACAGCTGATATCTGCTGGACTCTATACAATATTGTGCCTCCAACAAATCCAAACGGATCGCACGGAAGCAACAAACAAACCGGATGTTGTAACCCAGGATTTCAATAAAAAATCGTGTCTGCTTGTAGATGTTGTTGTACCTCGGTATCAAAACGTCGTAACCAATGAGGCAGAGAAACGGGTTAAATTCAATTGTTTGGAAATCGAGATTAGGCGAATGTGGGGCGTAAAAGCACAGATCGTCCCGATATTTATCGAATCTTTGGAATTTGTTTTGCAAAATTTGTGTAAGAACTTGACTAAACTCCCAGGTCATTTAAAAGACTGGGAAGTGAAAGAAATTGCTATATTTGGAACAGCACACATTTTGCGCAAAGTATTGTAGAGGCACCGACAATCCCTAGATCTGCTCTTTAGGTAGCTGATTGCAACCTGGATTAGATTTTCTATTCAGCCGACTCATAACATCTTAGTAGTGATGTAGAGGAAAAATAACCATTATAATAATAAAAATAATAGTATTAATATCAGGTTATCTCCCCAAATTGATATATACGTAAGGCTAACAATCATGTCTTAACCAAGAGATGCAGCTGAAAGGCTGATCCCCATAATATGTTGATCTCTCCAGGATAGAATATAACTGGAAATATGTTACGTGGTCAGTAGTGGCTCATAAGCGAATAATAATAATAATAATAATAATAATAATAATAATAATAATAATAATAATAATAATAATTGTATTCTGACGCCATCCTCGGCTCACCAAAAACCACCCACCAGTAGGCACCTAGTGGGATAACGTAGATGAATACTTGAGACGCACTTAAATTTATCCTAGGGCAGTGGGATCTTCGGGTGTGAGAAAGGATAACCCAAGTCACGTAAATCAAATATAAATAGTGCATGTATTCTGGAAATCAACTGATACAGACATACCCAACTCAAAGTAAAAAAACAATAGAACAATTAACAAAAAATAACACTCAAATTGGATCGTGCAACTTACCTTAGTATGTCGTTCCTTGAAACATTACTCACACATTTTGAGAGCCTTAAATTTTCTTAAAAGTAATTATATCCTGTACTATTTCTACCGTACACGGCTTCTTCCTGACTGAATGAACAACCGAACTCTTGCTCTTAACACAAAAAAGTGGAAAAGGTACTACTCATTTTTGCATCCACTTCTGATAACTCTACACATTTAATCTTAATTCACAATTATTCAACGATGCACTTTAACCTTCCATCTAATCAACGCAATGATTGCATACTATGTTCTTATTAACACAATCAATTACAAACTTTGAGTATTTCTACTCTAATTAACGGTAAAGAAGTGTGTCGCAAAATTTCTACAAGGCTTTACACAAACGCTATCAGAATGTAAACGCTCTCATTCAAATTTAGCTATAAATGAACAGTAATTTTCTCCCCGAAGATTTAATCTGCTCGACCGTAGCTCGAGTAACAAGTTTCTAGCGGTCGTTTCCAGCTAGTCGCAACACTTTAGGATAATTTGGTCGCAATCACCGTCGGTGCTCGCCCTGGCCTCGCCGTTCGTCGCCGCCGGGCCGCGCCGTGACCTTGCCCTGAGCGCAAGATTTGCGCTGCCAACCCCGCGACGTCGCCTTCGCAGACCTCGTCGGAAGTTGCTGCCGCCCTCGCCACGCACCAGACGAATCCAAAATTCCAGCTGCTTCGTTCTTCTTTCTTCCTTCTTCGGACACCGGGACACGCTCGTACGCCTATTCTCTCTTCCTTCCTTCGCCCCTCACGCAGAGAACGCCAATGTCTTTCAGTCTGTGCACATATGAATACATAAC